CCGATCCCTCAGGGCCAAACGCACCGCCATTTAGGGGCCAATTTTGATTGACCTTAAGGTCATACACGATCCATGCTCAATTACAGATGAGACATTGTGTTCGAGGACTAGAGCCAATTTGAGAGGGAAAGAACTGGATGGAACGCAGTTAGAGAAAAATTCCCATTGTGACCTGTAGAGTCAGATCCATGGATTGCAAGCGTCCTTGAATCCCAGCAGTCTGACTAGCAAAAGGATATGGGAGCAGAAGGCGGGGTCGTCACCCAAGTGCCCAATGGAGCCCATGGTTTAGCCTGTAAAAGGGGAACAGAGGTTGAGTCGTCACTCACACCGACTGTTGCCCGGACTCTGTGTCCATAGAGACTAAAAGCCTTAAGTAGGAGTTGTGGTTACTACGACTTTTACGAGAGAGTAGAAAAGCCGCAGACAACAGTGGACCACAACTCAGAGATTCACTGTGAGAATTTCCTGTTCCGTGTCTTACCTCAGAATTTGGAAGGCTGATGTATGGATGGAGATCGTGGAGTGTTCAGTGGTGTGGAATGAGTTCCAGGGGTGTGTTTTGTGACTGGCAGAAATCCAGGACCCCAGAGCAGCTCAGAGGTCCCCAAAGGGAGAGCCAAGTCACTGGGGGACACTGGATCACCAATGTAAGGTTTTCCCGGCCAATGCACCAATGTTAGCCATCACAAAGCACACCAAACACCGTAGTAAGCGAAAGGGTTTATTGGGGAAAACCCAGCAGACTGGAGGGGAGGGATGAAGAAGGATAAGAGAAAGAGAATATAAGAGAGAGACCTAGGAGAAGAGCTAGTGAGGAGAGAAGACAGAGAAGAGAGACGAGAGGAGAGCAGATGAGAGGAGCCAAGAGAAGCCAAGAAAGCAGTAGAGAAGAGCCAAGAGATGTTATAGGTACTTAAACAGTTGGAAGTCCTGGGGTAATGGCAAGGATTCAGTCCAGGGCTTCTCTGACCCCAGTTCAGATTCTTTCCTAAAGAGAAAGAAAAGGGCCGGCGCCGTGGCTCAATAGGCTAATCCTCCACCTTGCGGCGCCGGCACACCGGGTTCCCGGTCGGGGCGCCGGATTCTGTCCCAGTTGCCCCTCTTCCAGGCCAGCTCTCTGCTATGGCCAGGGAGTGCAGTGGAGGATGGCCCAGGTGCTTGGGCCCTGCACCCCATGGGAGACCAGGAAAAGCACCTGGCTCCTG